CAATGCGAGCTTGATTGCCGTACATTTTGGCGAAGGAGGACAAGAACATTCTCTTCCTCGGCGAACCTGGCTGCGGCAAAACCACGATTGTCCGCGAAGTCTCTCGGCAGCTCGCGACCAAGTACAACGTCTGCATCGTCGACACGAGCAACGAGATTGCAGGTAGTACTCTTTCTCCTCAAAATAGTGGAAACGAAACCCTAATCACTCTGATTTTATTGTTTAGGCGACGGCAACATTCCGCACATGTGCGTGGGCTTGGCGCGCCGCATGATGGTGCCGTCGCTCGACAAGCAAGCCGCCGTGATGGTCCAAGTGGTCCAGAACCACACGCCCGAGGTCATGGTCATTGACGAGATTGGCCGCCCGAACGAAGTCGAGGCCGCGCGCACGTGCAAGCAGCGCGGTGTGCGCATCGTGGCCTCGGCGCACGGCGACCTGCGCAAGCTGCTCAAGAACAAGCCGCTGCGAGGGCTTGTGGGTGGCATTCAGAACGTGACGCTCAGCGACAAGACGGCCAGGGAGCAGCAGCTGAAGAACGACGGCGACTCGCTGCGGAAGACTGTGGCCGAGCGCGGCGGTGCACCGATCTTTGAGGTGATTGTGGAGCTCCGGCGCGGGCAGTACGACACGTGGCGCATCATTTCGAACGCGGCGGACGCGGTCGATGCCATTTTGAGCAACACTGACTACGAGACCCAAGTGCGCACGCGGACCGCCGACGGCAATGCGTTTTTGTTCAACACGGAGAAGCTCTAAGGGAGCATTGTACATGGAAGACTTTATGAGTGCTACCTATTGCTCCTCGCAAAGACGACGTGCTACGCTACTCTAGAAGGTGCTGGACACCAATGGCTGGGCACTAGATTGTCATCGAGATGACAAGAGCTAGGCAGGCAGGGGAGAGGCTGGAGAGGGCGTCGAGGAGGCGACATGGTCAGGGCGACGCGATGCTGCCATCCAGAGGATATGACTTCGATGGGCCAAACGTCCTGTCCTTGGGCGCAGGTCGACTTCGGAAGTTCGTTGGCAACAAATTTTGGCGCGTAAACTGAATCCTCGGAAGGTTCCGCGAAGGGCCGCGAATGGTTTGGGCGAAGATTCGCGAGTCGCAAGCGCGCCGTTGATTGGTGAAAAGTTGACCAATCGAATTCCACGACCGTGGACATAGCTCGTGGACATCATGCGTGGACATAGTGTCATCTGCCCACTCTGCAACTCGCTCCCAACCTATAAGAACTACCTCAGAATGGTCGCTTCGCCCGAAACCCACGCGTTCGTCAAGGCGACGCTCGCTTCGCACGGTGTCACGGTCTTTAGCAAGACGTACTGCCCCTACTGCACGCAGGTCGACTTCTCCAACGTCAAAGGGCCATCTCAAAGTGCAATCTCCCCAATAGGCCAAGTCGGTCTTGACGTCGGTTGGCGCGCCGTACCACGTGATTGAGCTCGACGTTGTCCCTAACGGCGACGAAATCCTCCAAGCGCTCATTGAGCTCACGGGCCGCCGCACGGTACCCAACGTGTTTGTCCAGGACGTGACGATCGGCGGCGGCTCGGACGTGGCGCAGCTCCAGCGCGACGGCAAGCTCGTGCCGCTCCTTCAAAACGCTGGTGTCCTCGTCTAATTTACTGCGTAAGAATCGCTCGCTTTTTCCAACAAATTCCCACAAATTCCAAACCAACGCACAACTGGCCGCCAATTTGCATGTCAATCAAAAATAGAGGCGCGGCGATGATGGATCTTGCGGTGGCAAGGTCGCTGCAGACGTGTCGCATGGCATAGCACTTTGACGCTTGGCTCCACCCATATCGCCTCGTCTACGAGTAGCATTATTGCGCGTTGTTGAGGCTCGCCTTGCATGATGTCGTGGTATTGGACCGACTAACTAAACTCGGTGCCGCCGCGTAGTTTAGTCGACGCGAGGACCATTGCTCGTGGAATTCAGTGCTATGTGCAATTAAAACGCGTCCTATTAAAAAACACGTTCATGACCATACAAAACGCAAGTGTGTTTCCGGAAGAAGCGTGTTTTTTTCACGCTTCGATAAAAATCCAAAAACGAAAAGCGAAGGGAGTGCGAAAACCCCTCGGCCGACAGCAGCAAGCAGCATGGTCCACAGCTCCAAGTACGACCTCCTCGTCAAGCTCCTCCTCATCGGCGACAGCGGTACCCTCCCATCCTCCTTCCCGGCCGAGGTAGAGCTCATGCGCATGCGGTAGGCGTCGGGAAGAGTTGCCTCCTCATGCGCTACTCGGACGACACGTTCACGTCGTCCTTCATCACGACGATCGGGATCGACTTCAAGGTCAAGACCATCGACGTGGATGGGAAGCGCGTGAAGCTCCAGATCTGGGACACGGCCGGCCAGGAGCGCTTCCGCACGATCACAACAGGTACTCGCATGCCATGCAGTGACCACGACGACGACGCTATGAATAGCCTACTACCGCGGCGCCATGGGCATCCTCCTCGTGTACGACGTCACGGACGACCATTCGTTCCAGAGTACGCATCGTTGGCTCTACCTCATGCCTCATGTGCTGACGCAGATGTGCGCAACTGGATGCGCCAGATCCAGCAGCATGCGAGCCCGAACGTCAACAAGATCCTCATTGGCAACAAGTGCGACGTCGACCCGTCCGAGCGCGTACGACTGCGTCCACGCCTTACCACGTGGCTCAATCTGTCTCGACGGGCGTAGGTGGTGACGACGCAGCAGGGCGAAGAGCTCGCGGCCGAGTACGGCGTGCAGTTCTTCGAGACGAGCGCCAAGAGCAATTTGAACGTCGAAGAAGCGTTCCGGTCGATTGCGGTCGACGTGCAGAAGCGCCTCGCCGAGTGCGAGAGCGACCGGTTAGACGTGGCCAACGAGCGCAAAATCAAACTGGACGACCACGCTGACCGGACGTCGGACGGCTGCTGCTAAAGATCGATCGACTTCATATATTGAGTTATACAAGCAGCGCGCGTTGCATCTGTTTGGTGTAGAGCTCCAGATACGTCGCAGGGACGTACCCACCGACGTGGCCGATCTGCACGAACCACCACGGAGCCGCGAGCGACGCGTCGAGGACAACGACCTCGTCTCCTGCGTCCACCTACGCACGCATCACAGACCCAGAGACACGTTATGATCCTACCGTCAACGTCGCATCGTCCGCACTGCCTTGGAAGGCGTAGAGCACGCGGGTCGACGGCGTCGGGTCGAGAAACCCGGCCGTGATCGAGAGACGGCTTGCAGTCGGGCTCGGCGAAGGACCGCGAAAGCCATCGAGGAGCGCGGCAATCGCGTCGGGGACCAAGACGTCGCGACGGGCGCCATGCACGAGGCGCTGGTGCAGCATGAGGAAGAGATGGTCCACCCATGCATCGGGGGCATGGGCCTGGATGAACATGGCGACGTAGCTTTCTTGCACCGGCGGGGGCGGTACATGGGCGAGCGCCACAATCAAGAGCGCCCACGCCTTGTCCCTACGTTCCATTTCCTTATACGAGCAAAACACCATATTGCTCGTACCGCAACGCGTCGCTGGGCACGTCCGTGAGCTGCTTGAGGATCTGCGCGTACACTTCCGCGCGCAGATCTGGCTGCGCGATCGCTTTCGAGATGAGCTCGACCACGAGGTCTTGCGGTGTCCCTTGCCGACGCAGGCCCATGTAGCCTAGTACCGACATGCTGTCGCATCGGAAGCAGCACTAGTATGGGAATGCAGTACCAAGGATAGCCTTGAAGCAACGGATCGCATCGCGCGTGGCGGCAGGGGGTAATAGCGTCAAGGACGTGTGCAGTGGCTTGGCACTAAACTTGAGCATACCATCGACCAAGTCTTCTTTGGCGCCGCTTGAGCTCAGGCCGTAGAATCTACAAAACGATATGTAAATTGTGTACATTTTACAGACAATAGTGGACCGCGCATTGGCAAAGTCGGCTTTGGCCCGCAGCAGAGGCAGCTGCGACGGCAAGAACATGCCCGCGTGCACTTTGAGAAAGCGCTTCTGAAGCGCGATCGACCGACCAATCACGGCGGCGCGGTCGTTGGCCTCGACGGCCTTGGTGAGCTGCTGCTTGAGCGCGTCTTCGTCGTCCTCATCGCACTGCGGCTCGTCGATCGGCGGAGTACCCTTCTCGCTTTGCGCCGCCGTTGCTGATTGCTGAGCTGGAAACAGCGGCTGCCACGGACGCAATACCTCGGGCGCGGTGGACGGGTCCTTTGACGCCGCGCGACGGGCGCAGACATACTGGCGTGCGAGCCGGCGCCGCCACGCTGCTTGCACCTGCACGACCGACGCGGATCGGTGAAGCACTCGCAGCAACTCGAGGAGGTCGTGGGCGGGCGCGTCGTACAAGACGAGCGACGCGCCGAGCCGCGCGCGCAAGCCGAGGTCGCGCAAAAGGGCCTGGCAGTCGCGCGCCCCTGGCGCTAAGCGCTGGTACATTTGGAAAAATGCGCTGTGCGGCACACGAAAGGCGAGACCGTGCGTTGATAGAGCGACGGCGGCGAGGACGCCTGCCGCCCGCAACTGATCGAGGACGACCATCGGCTCGAACGTTGCGGTCGCGCGCGTGCGGTTGGGCGCAATGCAGCACACATAGCGGGGATGCAAGAGCGCGACGTCTTGACGCAGCGCGGCGAGTTGCGTGCGAAAGTCCGCCACCGGCGACCGCGCTCGCGCTGGGGCAGCTTGAAACAGCGCCTGGAAGGCTGCTGGCAGCGCGCTAAAAACACGCCACCTTAGCATGACGTGGCTCACGGAGGCACCGACCTTTGGGCGACGAGCTCGGCGACGCTCGGCGCGGCCATGTCCTTGTTGCCCTCGGTGAGACCGTCGGCCGAGTACGTGACGACGCCGGCGTAATGACGCACGCCAAATACCATCGGTGCCTTTTGCGCAACGAGCGCGGGTGACGACAATGTGCGCACCTGCTGCGCCAGTCGCGCATCGCTGCCCCGCATCACGCGCGAGTGCTCTTCCAAGAGATGCCAGATCCCGTCGGGCTTCTGCACCATTGCCTCAGGTACGTCCTCGCAAGGAAGGATGATACCTTGTCCAAGAGGTCCAAGACGACTTGGTGGTCGTGAAATGCCACCGACGGCGCCGCGACGCCCTCCCGCGCGTACAGCGCAAAGTCGGCGGCCATGATCTCACCTTGCATTTTCTGCTGAAACACTTCGTTCGTGTAGTTGATGCAGAGCTGGTTGAGGCCGTTCACGGGAAGTGACTCGAAGCCAACGACGTCGAGAACGCTCAAGCGCAGCGCGTCAGACGACGCACCACACGATGCGTTGCTGCGCGTAGTAATGTACTCGAAGAGTCGCACGTAGAGCGCCTTGGCCATCGCAGCGGCCACGGATGCCGCGCGCTCGGGGCCATGCGGCATGTGTTGCCGCTCGAGCTTGCTGCCAATCGTGAGCACGGTGACACAGAGCGCGTCACGCAGCGCATCGGCAGGCACACGCAAGAGCGTTGCAGCAGTACCCAGCGCGGCAGTGTTGGCCACCTACGTCATCAGTATGCATGCAAGCTGGTGCATCGTGCCAACAAAGAAGGCGTACGTTGGAGCCTGTCTCCTTGTCCGCGATAAAGACGAGGTTGCCCAGGTGGAGGATGGCAGCCACGACGCCGAGGAGCCAGTCGACATCGAGAATACCCACGACGCGCAACGCATCGAGTGTTGCGTCCAGCCCTTTAAACGCAGTCTCATCGGGGCCGCCCTACCGCAAAACCAGGTAAGAGGCGTGTTTATAGACGTTTGGAGCCAACCTCGGCATCGGTCAGGTACGCGTACTCGCCGAGGCCAAAGGGCGCGAGGCCATAGTCTGCCGCACGCTGGGAGCAGAGAAGCTGGTAGAAAATGAGATAGTTGCTCTCGCCATTAGCCTGGCGCACGACTCGCGCCTTCTCCAAGAGGTAGCATATGATCGACGCGCCGACCACCGAGCGCGTTGACGGGTCCACGTGCAAGGTTACGAGTTTGGAAAAGCGACTGCTGCTGCCATTGCGAGGCGTCTTGGCATGCCCAAACGCAGTCAGTGCCGAATGCGCGCCAAGCACCCCAGACCTACGCGCCGCCATCAGCAACTCGAACGTTCATGCAGACGTGCACCGACCCGTTCTGTTCGGTGAGTGCGGTGAGAAGGTGCGTCGCGGCGGCCGTCTTGCCAGCGCCGCTCTCACCACTGACAATAATCACCTAGGCTTCAATGCTACAGCCGTCACTTTAGAAGGCAAACCGCGCACCTGGTTTCGGCCGTCCTGAAGGAGCGCATCGAGCGCCGCCTGCGCCATGGCCGCAAGACTGGGCGCGATCCCAGAAGCGCTTGTACTCGATGGTGGCGTCGGTGGCGCACCAAAGGTTTGCAGTGCCACGAGCATCCCCGCCGACGAGCCCACCCACGTGTGCAGTCGCCCCTATAGAAATGACGATGGTCATATCGAACAGATGTCACGTACCTCGAGGAAGCGCTTCTGAAGCATGTGCAGCACAGTGGGCTCGGTATCGTACGCTGCGAGCGTAGCGAGGTCGTCGACGTTGCGCCGTAAACTGGCGTCCGTGACTAGCGCCTTGGCATCCGGTACAGGCACGTCTTCGAGCATCTCGCCGTCACCAAGCACCGTCGCTATTCCCGGGCGCGGACGATCGACGATGCGCCGAAGCACGTAGCCAGCTGCAGCGTCGTCGACCCAGAGGTAGGTGGGACCATGGGTGGAGGCGACCATGCTCAGTCGCTGCGCTCTATAGACCCGTTATAGCTTCAATCACGGAAGCGAGCTCGCAGCAAGCACGTACATTGGATCCAGCGTGAAGGATCGACCGTCGGCCGTCGAGTGTACGTGTGGCGTTGCCGGCTACAAAGCGAGGCTGAATGATCCCAATGCTTTTAAACGACATGTTACGCAGCGGGCGGTGCAAAGCATTTTTGCGATGTGTCCTGGGCAAAGCACCGACGCCTCGAATGCTGCTTGGGGTAGGAGAGGTCTGGATCTATCCAATTCATCGTCGTCGTCGTCTTGATTACTTGAACGAGAGACAGCAACGAGCGTCGTGACGAGCGACTGCACTTTGCGCGGAGGCACAATGGTTCGGGGACCGTGCGCTATGGGTTTCAGAGACGCTGACCGCTTCAGAAGGCTCGCGTGGATCGCGTCTTTTGTGTTCAAGCACGAGAGGAGCGACGGGAGCTCACCGATCGAGAGCCACTCGGCGAGCCCGAGACGCCAGACAATAGTGTCAGTCTGGAGCTCACCGCGGAGCCAGAGGCTGCGCAAGAGCTCCAGCGTCGCGGGGCCGTGGATTTTGTCGTCGTCGTTGGCGTAGAACCATCGTGTCTCGGCCATCGCCACGTGCTTCACTCCACAGCAATTTTGAAACGGTTTCTATTTGAAACGATCTGGCTCCGATGGGGTGTTTCCCGCCAAAACAAATATCCTGCCTCAAATATGTACTTTCAACTAAAGAAAGGCGAGGCGGATGAATGCAATCTTGGCGAGTGTCCTTACCACAGATGCCATGCACGATCCACGATCGCCCAACGAACGAGCCTTTCTATGCACGCGTCCTCGTCGTCCTGCCGCGTCATCCGTCGTCTTCGCAGCACGTTCAAGAACCATGTCATTGGCACAGACGAGGAGAAGGAAGCGCGGCGTGCGGCTGCAGCCGGCTGCCTGACCCTTCTCGAGATGGCTGCACCTTCAAGGCACCACACCGTACCAATAGTGCCGATCAGAAACTGGAGAAGGTGGGACATACCCAAGAAGCCGCCGAGGCGAGCGTGCTACAGTTCATGCCCATCCAACGCTGGCGCGGTGCTCCAGTCTAGGCACTGCTGCAGCGCCCCCAGCCGCGCCAAGCGCTGCAGTTTGTGGGCTAAAGTATTCTCATTGTTCCAACCGATTTCTCTACGCAAGCGTATGCAACCGCGCGACAGGCCAGCGTCACGCCCATGGTCGCGTCAACCTGATTCCCATGGGGCTCGTCTCGACCGCGACGCTTGGTCGCAAGTGGCTGCCATAGGAATGTACTTGCTTGCACGAGACCCGACGAGCCTCTAATTCGTACCTGGTACGAATTAGACGACGACGACGCGTGCTCCCAGCCTCTCGCGCGATACAAACTGCAAGACGTCCACCACCCACACAGACGCCATCTGAATCTGGTAGATTCCGCTCGGACGAATATCGCAATGTGATTGGCCTTTTATGCGGATAATCCGGATAATCAACGGCGTGGGCAGCGATTGCATTCAGTTCCAATCTTCCTCGACGACGTCGACGTAAGCAGCAGCATGGCGCCGACGATGGCACCGACGACCGACGCTGCGCCGACACGGACGCCGATGGACATGGCGCCTATGCCGATGGCCGATGCACCGCCAACACCCATGACATCGATGGAGAAGCGGCTCGCCGGCTACCATGTGCTGCACGACCAGGGCTTTTCGTTCTTGGCCGACAATGCGTACATCCGGTCAGGCTACCGCGTCAACTACTCGGCCTCGCACTGCCTCCAGTCGCTCTTCGAGCTGCACAACGAGACGTGGAACGTCTGGACGCACATTGTGGGCTCGCTCATCTTTGTCTGCCTTCTCGTGAGCGTCTTTAGCATGGAGGTCCCGCTCGAGGCGTCGACGGCCCAAGTCGTGTCGCCGGACGTCTTGTACCTCCAAGGCGGCCACCACACGCTGGCGTTCTTTGAGAAGACCATTGCATCGAACGCGCTCTTTACGAAGGAGCACACGTCGTACTACACGGTCGACGCCGTGCACCAAGAGACGGTTGTCCGGCGCATGCACGTGGCGAGCGAGATCCTTGGCCACACGATCGCGCAGATCCCGAGCCTCCAGCGCTTCCATCAGCTCCTCGAGTCGCACGCTGGCGATGTCTCGCACCTCCTCTCGGACCAAATGGAGACGCTGTACAAGGAGCTCACGCTCTTGCACGCGCGCTTGCACCCGAGCACGAACGCGACGGCGGCGCACGACCAGACGCTGCTGCAGTGGGTCGCGTCGTACAACCAGATCCACCGCATGAAGACGCAGCTGCGCCTCCGCGTCGACGCCTTTAGCTCGTTTCTTCGGCAGCTCGACACGCCCAAGGCCTACCCCTCGGTGCAGTACATGCTCCGCGAGTTTCACGGCCTTACCGACAGCGTCTACAACGGGCTTCATGTGCTCTCGGAGCTGCATCCATCGGCCCTCGCGTCGTCGGTCGTCGGTCTCTGGCCGATCGCCGTCTTTATCGGGAGCGCCGTCGTGTGCCTCACGATGAGCTCGGTGTACCACCTGCTCTTTGTGCAGAGCCCGCGCGCGTCGCTGCTGCTGTCGCAACTGGACTATGCTGGCATCATCCTCATGATTGCCGGGTCGTTCTTTCCGGTCATTTACTACTCGTTCTACTGCAACCAGTGGGCTCTCAACGCGTACCTCGGCATCGTCTCGGTGCTCGCGATAGGGTCCTTCGCCGCGTCGCTCATCCCGGCCTTTGGCAAGTACCCGAGCGTGCGCTCGGCGGTGTTTCTCTCGATGGGCTTCTTCGGCGTCGTCCCGATCGCGCACCTCATTTACGAGTTTGGGCTCATGGACGACCACGTGCAGATTGTGCTCAAGCCGCTCCTGGCCATGGCCGGCCTCTACGTGCTCGGCGCGGTCTTCTACGGAACGCGGTTCCCCGAGCGCCTCTACCCCGGCACGTTTGACGTGTGGTTCTCGTCGCATCAGCTGTGGCACATTTGCGTCGTTCTCGCCGCCCTCGTGCACTATGTGAGCGCGATGCAGCATTACGAGTGGCGCTGGCAGACGGGCTGCCGCGCCTGAGAGTGCAATGGTAAGCACACGACGACGTAGCAGCGTTTGTACAAGTAGTTTTAAAGCACGTAATAGGAGTAGTAGACAGTGGGTCGCCGCCGCTGTGCAGGTTGGCGAGAGAGTAGGCTTTGTCGATCGCAAGGCAAGTGACCTCGTTTGGTTGAATGATAACTGGATTTTTATTATGCTGCTTGGTCTTAAATCGAGTCTATAGAAGGCCCAACTCGTGGGCCCTGGCTAGCAACGCGCGCAGCACGGTCTCTTCGTACTCGAGCGCCGCGTCCCGTTGCCCTAAAGGAACCGGTGCGAGGCATGGGGTGGGTGCGAGGACCAAGTGCGGCTCGAAAGCCATCAGCTGCCCGGTCTCGATCGCTGTGATGGCGCGAACGAGCGTATCGATAGCTGCAACG